ACAAAAACACTAGAAAACGTATATTAGTAATAAAAATAGCTCCGTAGAGCTCAAATAAGCACAAATATGACCGTATATTTATGATCACCATATTTATGATCACCATATTGCATGTTTAAAGGGAATATGTAATTGAAAATCACGCCTAATAAGATAATTTGGACAACTAGTTTAGGTTCCTTTTAATCTTGTTGTGTTAATCAAGTGATCACGATATAATAGAATTATATGTTGCATTAATATTAAACCAATTTAGCTTAATAATAGTTTGGAGCAAGTTGAATATTTTGTTTGCATGCCTTTGAGATCGCATGAATCACTTTTCACTATAAGAATTGAGTAGAGGCCAATACGGGCGAATGTGACTCCATGACTCACTTCGTACCATCATCCCCGATCCTCCTTTCGTGGTTTCGAACCATATGGAGTTAGTAATCTCATGGATTATGAATGTGGCGTAACCTTCACGGGTCAATCGTTGTTTCCTATCGTTGTCTCTTTATTCGTGGTTACCTTTTATGATCCGTGAACGATTAACAAGTTCCTTAAAAACTTGTTGGCGGCTCCCTAGTTTCCTTGTCCCTAATCATATAATGTCAATTCCCACTTCCTATGTGTGCCAAGCATATTCACAACATGCTTTACGTAGGCGCACTTCGAACGACGCCTACAACATAATTAGTACTTCAAACCATTCAAAACATGATTTAAAAAATATATAAATCAACACCTCCAAACATAATATATTTCAAAATCATAATTCAAATCAATTTAATTCAATTACCAATTATAATCATGTTAAACAAGTTTATTCAAACCAATCACTTTCAAAGGTATCTAGTCACCTAAACGTACCTTTATCCTTGCTAGCAAAACCACACAAAAGAACCTCAAGAACCTTGATTCCAAATATCAATCAATACTTCACACTTTTAAAGTTCAATCATGAATACACCTTGCAAATAACATAACCATAAGGTTATCACAACATAAACTCAAATTTAATGTTCATGGGCTATAAATAAAACTCTTTTAAAATAATACTTTGATATAAAATTATAACTTTAAAATGGTTATTTGTATTTTAGAAAACTAACCATGAAGAAGGTAAAGGAATAGGATTAAAGAGAATTGAATTTTTCTCTATAAATAGGGTCGTGTTTCCCTGTTTTCAATCGTCAACAATTATCAACTATCATCTTTATATTCTCTCTCTCTAAAAGATAGAAGCTTATTCTTTCTTTCTCACTCTTTCTAAGCATTGCCTTTTCAATCACCATTCGTCCATCACGAGACTTAGACACACATAGCCAAGTTCTAAGTTGTCTTTGCCCTAGACGTGAAGGGTTGATAATTTATGAGTTTGATCCTTAATCCGTATTTCAATGTTTAAAATTAATTATTTGATTTAATATTTTTATTAAAGTTACTAACGTGTGTATTGTTTTGATAGAAAGAGAACCGAGGCAACAAAGTAAGTTGTTTTATTGCTATATTTTGTAGAAAGCATGCTTATATTATTTTAATTTCTAGTATAATGTTAGGATGTTACTTATTGCTTTCTAGTATCATGCTCAGGTTGCTTCCTATTTCTTCTTTCATGTTAGTATCATGTTCAGGCTAAAGTTTTAATTTTTATTGTTTAGTGACATGCTAAGATTTGTTATTAATCATGTTATTATATCATGCCTAGGATCTAGCTAATATTATTATGCCTTGATGAGGATATTAATATTATGATGATGATGTTTATTGTGTCTGTCAACCAATATTATTATGTAACTTGATGTATATTATTGTTATTGCTTGATGACGCCCTCTCTTGCAGGTTTAAAGGGGATTTGTATTTGAAATCACGCTTAATAAGATAATTAATAATTTTATTTAGGCTAATGTGATTTTAATTCAAGTGATCGCCAATTTGTGCATTAATAATCAACCAACAAAGATTAAACAGGTTTAGGGAAGGTTCAATCTCCTTTAGAGTGGATTTTTACCTTTATCCCCAAATATCCAGTCATGGTTCATGACCGCTATGGAGTTCGCGATCTCATGAAAGGTGAAGGGGTGTAACCTTCACCCTGTAAACGGTTTACAAGTTCCTAAAACTTGTTGGAAACTCTTTTGCTTTAGCTTCCTTCCCTTTGGACGCCACCATGCTTAAGTATATGATCACAGTGGGGCTCAAGTGTGAGATGCTTGAAAATTCCCTATAGTTTTTAAGAACTCCACTAAGGAGGATTTCTATTTTAATTCCTGAAATTTATTTTGGCAATAATTTATAATGAGTGGATGAGACTCAAAACGTTCTAAGTATTCATGTGCGTAATTTTGATTGAAATTTATTTAAAATGATTAACATTATTGGCATAAGCATATAAAGGTCAGCATTGGATAGATCATCCATAATGCTTCAAAAACATAGGCTTTTTACACGGAGGAAATTTGGGAAATATCTTTTACAACTAAAATCGAAAAAAATCAGCGAAAACTAGAAAATTCGAAGAACACAGGAAGCTGCCGAGGCATGTAGGAACTAGCGCTGAGAAAACAGTTCCCATCGTAGTGCGATGGCTCTGTCACGATGCGATAACAATATTGCGACGCGAAAGGGCCATCTCCTCGCGATGGTCCCTCTTGTCTCGCGCCATGTTCCTCTAATACCGAGCAAAAAATATGCCTTCTTGCTTTGACCGATTCCAGTAATGTTTCCTCGATTTTACTTACTGGTTGTATTTTCCCCTCTTTTTAGAAACCCATATGTGTTCTACATATGGATATAACCTCTGAAAATTCACGCTCCATCTACCCAATCGAACGCTCATTGCAATGACGGGTACATCCGAGTTTTTGAATTCACTAAACCATGAAAGCAAGTTTAACTTGCGGAGTCTCATCCATACGCGCCAACCCTTCCAAAGGTTAGGATTCCGCATGATGCATCCAGACTCATAACCATGGACCCTCTTTGAATAACCATAATCCTTGAACTTTAGAGAACTAGAGTCATGGTTAGGTTGCAAACTCATTGCATCATATTGGGCTTAATTGACTACTTGTGCATCTCTTTCATGTGCATAGCTTATATGTGTTTACGCTAACCATTTGTTTGACTTGTGCATAAGTCTAAATAAACTGATTAATTACCAAAGTATTTTTCTTAATTAATTTATTAGTTAATTTGAACCAATAAATATGCCTAAAATTGAGTCATAGTTCCTTTGAGTCAACCCTGATTTTGATTTCCGTATACTGCACAAGCGTCAAATTTTTTTAGTCATAATCGGAGTTCTAGAAAGAATTACGAGTAGTATATCTTATGGATCTATAGCCGTGAGTTTTATCTTTCATTTAGCGTTTGTTTCATCTAATTCGAAGTCACGTATAAAAAGTTATGACTAAAATACTACAGCCTGTCCAGTTTAGTGCACATACGTGAGGTCTTCACTTAGTCTTTGTTGAAGTCTAATCATATGTTTAGTCACATGGTCATGACACGAGTCTTGAACATATCACTTACACCCACAAATCTTAGAACATGCTTTGTATATATGTGTCACCATGACCATGTCTTAGGTTCACGCATGAGTCGTCCTTTTCGTCATTTGAGTTGGGGGTCTACTCTATTCCTAAATTCTTCCACATCTCTCCACCTACATCACCTTCTTCCTACATGCTTTCCACATACATATCATTCCTCCTCATTCTTCCATGATCTATTCCCATCTATGCATATATGTTGAATTGAGTTTGAGTCAAACAATTAACAATAAGTATCTATTTTGGGTAATTTTACCCATGCCACATGGTCCACTCATACCTCGACATGTTTCATACCCTGGTTGGTCCGAATTGGGCCAATCTCCATTTTACACGTGTCCTTCCTAGAACTTGGGAGAAAAAGACGGCCTTCAATGGCTCAAACCCCGAGAAAGCCGAAATTCGGCACAGCCCAAAATGATTAGGTCAGAGTGACCTAATCAAGGGCACATTTCCCAATGACCCCTTAAATAGGGAGATTTCCCCCATTTTTGGGGCATCTACAATTATTACAGTAGACCCTACATTCTCTTACATCAGAGAATCACCTAATCTCGGAATCCGATAAGATTTCACCTTTTTCCGCACTTTCTACCGTTTATCTTCAAGCACTAACTTGATCGTTGGAGGCGAAGCTCCAACCACCCGGAGTCTCCGTTGTATTGCAGGTACAAGCCGCGCGCAACTAGTCTCTGAGCCGTAACTCTCCCAAGGGACAAAAAAACACCCAAAACATTTGGCGTCGTCTTTGGGGAGAGTACCTCAAGGATGGTTCAAGAATCTATACCACCTCCTGACCAATTGGTTAACCAGCCGGAGGTCTTTAATTACCATGAGGATGATGATCCTCAGGTCGAAACCTACATAGCCAAGGATGGCTCTCTGATTACCAAGTGCATTTGTCCCAAAGACACTCTGGAACAAAGTGCAAGCCAGGCGGGTATAAGCCGACCCCCTGGTCAGCCGGATCCGCCCCAGTCACCCGGGACGAACTAATGAAATTCATGACTAGTTTCAAGGGTGAAATCAAGTATCTGATCACCAAGAGCAGGGTTGGCCCAAGCAAGGGTCAGTCGGCAAGAAAGACTTCTCTAGAGAGGAGAAATCCAGTCAGGGACAAGCAACCGGGACCCTTGACTGGTCCAAAATTCTTCTACCCCAGAAGAATACAAGAAACACCCGCCGGGGTGAACAGCCGGAGGGAAACAAAAAATCTACTCCTGATGCCCGGGAAATCATCACCTACATGAGAAGTCACAGTACTACAAAAAGAGTACTTTTTGGACGCTTTTGGTTCGACGTTGTTGGTTGGCGTCCCCGTATGTATTTTGGTACCGTCTTTTCTCGACGTTTTTTATAGTCGAAGATTGACTCTAAACTTAAAAGCGTCGAGAAAATCACGTGCTATGCACGTGAGTATGGATGGCCGCAATTTTAAAATTTTTAATTAATGAAAAACTAATTAGCACGCGGGTTGTATTTTCTCCCTCACTCGAATCAGGCTCCCAAATCCCCCAAATTCCCAATTAAACTGCCCATCCACTATTCTGCTCTCCTCTAAACCTGGACTCCATCATCAGCGACAAGAAAAACATCATTCCTTTTTGGTTAATTTTTGGGTTTTGCTTGCTAAACTTCAAGGAATTTGGGGGTTTTTGGATCGTCACTTTCATAAATTTCAGGTATCAACTTACAATTTGCTATACAATATTGTTGCTCGGTATATATCTATTTTTTTTTGTACCTAATATCTCACAATTCTCTAAATTTCGTTAAAATTGGGAATTATTCTTTGCATGTCATCGATTTTGAGTTGGTGTAGAACAAGAATCGATCTCTTATTGCGAGGTAATTTTTTTCCCTTAATTAGATGTTTTAATTTCTTGTTATATTGTTTTTTTTCGTGAATTTTGTAATCAAATCCAAGGTTTCCATATTTTTATTTTATTTTTATTTTTTTAATTTTTTTTTTATAGTTTTTGGTTTTTCTTTTCTATGATTTTTATGGAACTTTTTAGGGTTTTAGTTCGGGATTTTATGGGTTTTTGATATGAATTTTACAGGCTTTGAATTTTCTGGTTTTTGATATGAATTTTATAGGCTTTGAATTTTATGGGGTTTTGATATGAATTTTATGGGTTTTTGATATGAATTTTCTTGTTTTTGAATTTTATGGGTTTTTGATATGAATTTTCTATGGTGATTTGGTGGCTGATGATTGCATTTTGTCTTCACATGCTTTGCTCTTAGAAGCATACTCATTCCCTTATAAATCATTAGACAGCAACCCCAATACTCACGACCGATTTATTTTGAAGAGTACAGCTTGTAAGAAATTTGGATTTGCATCATATCTTTATTTGTGGTTGTTTTTATTTGTTTCACACAAGTGATCATCAGTGGTAAATTTTGCTTTGTCTTAGAGTCTTAGACCGAGTATGAGATTATGTGCTTTATGTCTGCCTTTTAAGCTGGCTATGGTGTTCTAGTTCCTTAAAATCCCATTTTATGTCTTTTAAACTTTATTTACTTTTATTATAGTCTTGTATTGAATTTATTGGAACAAATATCTATTTGTTTATATGCCACAAGAACTTTCAGTAAAACACACACCGGAAATCGGAAAGAAGTTTTACAAACTACAGGTTACATACAAGAAAATCAATAATTACCTGGAAAAGAACAAGTAGTACCACAACGATGATCCCAACAGCCATAGCACTGCTATAGTAAAATATCAAAGAATCACTGAATGTGGAAGCCAGTGTAAGCAATAACGTACCCAGGTTTAGAAACACAGTGCGATATGCAGAGAAATCTGAAAACCAAATGTAAAACAAGACCTGATGAATCAAGTCTTATTGTTAAGAATGTATAAGTTTGTTTGTTGGTTAAGATGATATGTATATTGCTGAAGAATTGGGTTGAGTTGATAATGAAGGTTGTGATAATTAGCAGATGTGAAGATCAATTTAAGTTGAAATACATTTACAGAGTATAATTTAGAGCTTGATAAATGATAATGCATGAAACTTGTGACACTATTATAAATCGCTCACTACTGCGGTACTACCTCCCCTGGCCTAGTTCTCTTTCATTGCCCATATTTTAGCTCTTATTTTGAACCAAGAAGTTTGAGTCTTTATATGTGGGGTGGATTATCATGAGGAGCCTATATGTATGATCTAACATTCTAATCCAACAATTTAATTTGCCCAGAAACCAATAGTTCCTGCGGAGCTGTACTGAAAAGTGCGTGACTCTCATCTTGTAGGACTTTCAGGCTACTCAAAAGAGGTATTTTTTTTTAAAATTTCAGATTTCCTTGTTGTTGTTGTATTTTTTTTAAAAAGTTTTTTTATGGGTTTTTATGATGAATTTGATGGCGTTTTCTAGGGTTTTAGTTTGGGATTTTTCGACTATGTTTTGATATGACTTTCTTGTTTCGAAGATTTTTGGCTTGATTAGTGTATGTCATATACTTATTTCAATTGTGTAGGCTTGATTAGATTTCCCTAATTGGATGTTTCATGTACTCTATCTTCTAATTGCTTGAAAAACTAGTATAACTTTTTATTTGTTGTTGCATGTTTCTTTCTAATTTTCTTCTTTCACCCCTCAACAAGTTTGTAGGCTTGAATTACTTACATTATTTTTAAGTGGATAAACTTCTTGATATTATAAGTTTGATGGATGTCTATTTACTTAGTGAAAGTGATGTCCCTATTATATATTGGTTTAAGGATCCTTGTAACATGATTTTTTTTTTTTAATTTTTTTTAATGTCATTGTTTTTAGGAAAATTTGAATTTTAGTACCTCAAAAATGGGGGTAATTGAATTTTAGTACCCATCTAAAATTTTATTTTAAATTAGCACCTCCAAAATGACAAAACTATAGGTTTCAGTACCTCCGTCTAGTTCCGTTAATTTTTCCGTTAGTGGGGCCCGTTTCTAATTATTTAATAATTTAATTTATTAAAAAAAAAAGAAAAAAACATTTTATAAAAAAAAAACTTAAAAAAATAAAAAAAATAATTAAAAAATAAAAAAAATGACCAGCCACCACCGGCGCCAACCCCCACCGCCGTCACCCATCCCAATTGACCACTCTCGACCCACGAAGTCAGCCGGCCGACCTTCCTCGAACCATGAAACTAACCGTCCGACCACCCTCGATCAACCTTCGAAACGAGCCCAACTGTACCCTAACAACCACAACGCTTTGTGGGTTTGGTATGGGTGTGGGTTGGAATTTCGTCAGTTCGGCGACGGTTTTGGGTAAGGGAGAGGAGTTCTGCGGCGGTGGTAGGTTGATTTGCTGCTATCGGCTTCTCGCTGGGCTGGTTTAGGTGGTTCGACGCTGGTTTGGAGTCGGGAGATGACGATGGGGGCTTCTCGCCGGGCTAGATTGGGTTGAGGTCTGGGTAGTTCGGCGACGGCTTCGGGTCGGGGAGACAACGATGGGCTGGGTTAAGGTGACGGCCATGGTACGGTAGTGGTGGCCACCGTTGCGCTAGGGTTTCAGGGAAGGGGAAAACAGGGAGGGAAAGGGAAGGGGAGGGGTGGGGTGTCGCGGCCAGGAACGAGGAAGGGAGAAAAGATGGTGGTGGTTGCGCTAGGGTTTTGGGGAAGGGGAAAACAGGGAGGGAAAGGGAAGGGGTGGCCGGCGCCGGTGCCAAGGGAATTCGGCCACCAACAGCTGGAAGCCGGCGCCGGCGCTTGTGTCAGTGGCTGTTTTTATTTTATTTTTTTATTTTTTTAAAGTTTTTTTTTTTATAAAATGTTTTTTCTTTTTTTTTAATAAATTAAATTATTAAATAATTAGATAATGGGCCCCACTAACGGAAAACTTAACGGAACTAGACGGAGGTACTGAAACCTATAGTTTTGTCATTTTGGAAGTACTAATTTAAAATAAAATTTTAGATGGGTACTAAAATTCAATTACCCCCATATTCGAGGTACTAAAATTCAAATTTTCCTAACATTAAATGTCACACAAATTTTAAAAAAGGTTACTATATTAAAAATAATGTTACTATATTGAAATTAGGGGTCACTATATTGAATATAATGTCAGTTACGTGTGTATAAATCTTAGGTTCACAATAATATATGTTATTTAATATAGGTTACGTACATAGGATATGTACAACTTGTTGGAGGATATATGTTATTTAATACGTACAGTTTTGTTGTAGGATATGTATTATTTGTTATAGGATATGCAATATTTTATAAAGTTTATGTATAATTTATATTTGATAGAGGATACTACAACTTGTTAGAGGATTTCATCATATATCTAATAGAGGATATTGTCCAGCCTATAGATGATATAGGAGACACAATTATAAATGATAACATATAGTCCAGAGAGGACATCATCCAATCAATAAAGGATATCATAGACACAATTATAAATGATATCATATAGCCAACGAACAGAGAATATCATTCAACCATGATGTCATATAACCAATAGATGATATCATCCTGCCAATAAAGGATATCATCCAGCCATATACAGAATATCATCTAATCAATTTGAGGATATCATCCCGTCAATAAAAGGATATCAACAATCCGCAAGACTGGCAAAACATTTGATCAATCCAGACTTACACAATAGTTTGTGTAAAAAAATAGATGTGCTCTTTTAATTATATTATTTATCTAGTGTGTGGTTTTGGAGATGCACTGATTTTTACATTGAGTTTTGTCATATTGTATTATTTGAGTTTCAAAATATATATCGTAGTATGTAATAAAATTAACAAACAATAGAAATGCATTGTTTTCTTTTGTCAATAACTTATATATTAGATTATTTATTCATATTTTTAAGGAAAATTTGTCAGAAACAACTTTTTAAAGTGTCCACTTTATTTAAAACAACCTTTTAAATTATTATTTTTTTTGCAATTTCAGACCACATTATAAATTTTTTTTTATCAAAGACAACCAAATGCTACTTTTCGGCGTTGACTTTATTTTTCCCGATGTTGACCACTAGTGTGCAATGCACATGAACTCGTATATTGCTTAATACACCAATTTTCCCTCCAATTCACTCGTACTAAAAGAGGGATGAAAGAGAAGCAGGGGTTTTAATAGGAGTTCATTGTAGGGAAAATGGATGTATTAAGCAATATAGGAGGTCACGTGACTCGCACACTCGTGGTCAACATCTGGCAAAAAAAGAGCCAACGCCGGAAAGTAACATTTGGGCCATGTTTGGTAATTGGCTTTTTAATGGCTTTTTGGTTAGCTTTTGGTTTTTGGCTTTTTTAGGTGGTCAAACAGCCAAAAAATGTATTTGGTAATTGGCTTTTTAGTCAGCGAAAAAGTTGGCTTTTAAGCCAAAATGAAAAAGCTGCTTTGAGTAGCTTTTTTGTTGGCTTTTGGCTTGTTGGCCCACAAATTATCTAATAAATAGCCAACAACCAACAATTAATTTACCAAACACTTTTATAAACAGCCAATTTCAAAAGCTTATAAATAGCCAAACATTCCAGCTGGTCAAACAAGCCAAGTGAACCAGCCAACAGCCAACCGCATACAGCCATTTGCCAAACAAGGTCTTGGTTGTTTTTGATAAAAAAAATTTATAATATGGTCTGAAATAGCAAAAAAAAAAATAAATTAAAAGGTTGTTTTAAATAAAGTGGACACTTTAAAAGGTTGTTTCTGACAAATTTTCCTATTTTTAATAATAATTATATTCTTATAATATAGTATTTGTTGAGCCAAATAAGATCTCACTTGAGTACTTGACTATATATTAGAAATAATTTTGTCCTTTAAATTGTGAATAATGTCAAGATCTAAAATATACTTGTATAATACAAAGACTAGTATGATTTTTAGCTTATTTTACTACTTTCTCTCTACTATCATTCCTCTCCCTATTACTTATATTTGTTTCCTCTACTATAAGGTTTTTTTTTATTATTGTAAACATATTTGTTTTCCATTGAAAAAAAAAAAAATTATAAAAAATGTTTTTCATCAAAACAAACAAGTCTAAATAAAAATCGTATTCTTCTCCTCAAATATAATAAGTTTTTGTCAAATAATGCTGGCTGGATTTGTAGGCAGTAATAATTCACAAGGGAGTATTGATTATTTATTCTTCATTTACGTTTCAAGGTCTGTCATCAAAATTCAAAATTGAACGCCATCCATTTCAATTAATTTATTGTTTAGAGATTGCTCCCAGTTGGATGAGTATCTTGAGGTGTATTATTGTTGTACCAATTTCGTTGACCACCCATACATAATACAAAGTAACAATAATAATAGTATGGCATTCTGTGGTCGAAAAGGACAGAATTGAAGGTACTCAAAGTAGTATAATTGGAACACTTTGACTTTTGTATTCTATACTATTCTAGCAAATTTGTATATGAATAATTAACTGTCCAAAAAAAAACATAGGAACTATTATTTGTAAAATTTGTAATGGTCTAATCCTTATCTTTCTACATCTTAACTTTTTCTATAAATGGTAAAGGTTTTATGTTAGAGTTTCTCTCTCGGATATAGGAGATTTGGGAGATTCTCACCCCCATCCTTATGGCTTTCTAAACACCCAAAAAAAACTGCCATTTTTGTTTTTTAATTTTTAGTCAACAATCCTCTCTAACAACCACGTACTTTCCGTATCATCCCTAGTTCCCTGGTCCCTACCATCAAATATAGACTTCCAACTACCAATACAACAAAACAAAACATAAGAGAATATGAATAATTAATTGCAAACCTTTTTTTTTTCTCCAAAAAAAAAACAATAAAAAAAATTATATATAAAAAAAAAACAATGTAATTTCGAAATTATTAGTTACCGTTTCACATTAAACATAAATTACACACACATTTACATAAATTGATAAGAATATACATTACCAATTTACTATGCATACAATGTACAGAGCACACAAAGCAAGCTTTTATTTCAAAGGTCATACGAAGTATTAGAGAGAGCATTTTGTTCAAAAATTGATAAAGTACGGAGTGTAATTGGTGACATTTAAAATACGTATTCAAGGGAGCGTGTCAATTATTTGAAAACAAAGAGAATAATTTATATTTGTTAATTTATATTATATTCTATTTTATAAGATATTACAAATTTGAAACTTGAAATCAAACTTATTTTATAAATAACTTCATACTATATCATGTAATCATGTTACAAATAGGTAGGAGTACAAAACATCATCTTTATTGTATGAAAATATTCACTATAATTTAGCAAAACTTAATTTATTAATTTGTATTTTGTACTACGTAACTATACATGCAAGTAACTCTTGCAAGTAACTTAATTCTCTTGAAAGAAACTATGCAAGTAACTCTTGCATGGATTTAACATTTTCCCCTGAATTTTGAAGCATCTTCTCTAATTCCTCTTTCCGAAGTATTTTTTCCTTAGCTAATTTCTTGGCCTTGCCTCGCTCGAGGTGTTTAACAAAATGTCTCTTGTACATCTCAGCAAATGTAATGGCCTCTTCTAAAATTGGCTTATCTCCCTCCTCGATCTTCAAAGGATACACAATTGCTTCTTGATCTGGATTGATGAATGTCGCGATCGACAATCGATTATGGTCATAATTCACAACTGCTTGATGATCTGCCTTCTTGAATCTTCCGTTGCTAAGATACTTCAAAACAAAAAAAGAAGCACGAAAAAAAATATTTAAACGGTAAAATCGTACTAGCAATTGGCCCCGTTTTATTTCAAGACTTTTCACTAAATATTTAATACGAGTAATTTTTATCTGTTAAGATTTCATCAAAGTCAATGAAATTTAATTCTTCTCAAAACATTAGTACACAAAATCCAACATCAATCTCTATGTTGATATTAAGGCAAAAACCTATGAAGTCTCATCTTAAGACAAATGGGAGCCACTTTATGATGATGTCACGACAAATTTAAGACTAAATTATATTTTTAATTACGCGATAAATTTGTGGTCAAAATTGTCAAAAAGTAAATATATACGAAGTATTAAAAATTCTTTGTATCTAGCAAAATTTTAGATGCCGAATTTTATTTATGATATTTTACGCATTCAATAAATAAGTTTGTGTTGTTATACCTATTAATCAAAGTTCATACTCGATATATTGTACCTTGTTTAAAGTCATGCTATTAAGGCCAAATTTTGCATATAAACAAAAAAAGAGGTAGTATATACAAAGTATATCTAGAGCTGTCAATTCGGGTAAACAGGTCGGGTTTGAGTTGGGTTAGTGTGAGTCGGGTCATCTCGGGTCGGGTCAATACGGGTTAATGCCATAACATATGCGGGTCAGGTTCGGATTGGGTCATGCTTGAGTCGGGTCACGTCGGGTCATACATCTTATCGAGTTTGGGTCAGGTTTTGGTCGGGTTACATTCGGGTTGGGTTAAACTCGGATTAAACGAGTTAGGGTCGTTCTCGGGTTCGAGTCAGGTTCGGTTCAAGTCAATTATTTACGGGTTATAATCAAGTTGGGTCATTTTCGGGTTCAAGTCGGGTTCAGTTCAAGTCAATAATTTGCGGGTTATAATCAAGTCGGGTCATTTTCAAGTCGGGTCATTCTCGGGTTCGTGTCGGATTCGGTTTAAGTCAATAATTTGTGGAAAACTTGTTTCGTCCCTGAAATTCGTCCTTAAAAACATGTTGTGAAACTAACCTCTTAAAAGTCAAAGTGAAATATTGAAGGAATAGAGTTAGGATTCAATTTACGTTTCAATACTGATAACGACCTATACATATTGATTCAATAACAAGTCGGGTTGAATTTGGGTCAGGTCAATAACAAGTCGGGTTGATTTAGGTCGGGTTTGTAACAGGTCGGGTTGAAATTCGAGTCGGGTTTGTAGCAGGTCGAGTTAAATTCGGGTCGGGTTAGGAACAGGTTGGGTTGAATTTGCGTCAGGTTAGGAACAGGTCGGTTTGAATTCGGGTTGGTTTTAGGTCGGGTTTGGGTCACCATTTTTTTCGGGTTTAGACGATTTGGTTAATAGGTCGGGTTAGGGTTGGTATTTCAAGTTGAGTCAGCTTTTGACAACTCTAAGTAAGTGACAACTCTAAGTAAGTGTAATATGTTGTGTGATTTATAAAAAGTGAGTAGAAAATTATTTCAAGAAAGAAATTGATTAAAGAAAAAATTTCAAAGTTGGATGTATCAAAGTTATAGTTTGTATTCTGTGTCACAAAAAGTTGTAGTATATATTTTTTTTTATTATTTTTTTTTTGCAATGGTCGTTTTTAAAGTAATTTATTGGTTATTCCGTCATCTCAGCTTCTTTCAGCTCAGCCTCCTTCATCTCAGCATCCTCGGCTTGGAGGCGAGCCTGCAAATCAACCTCAGCCTGACTGGCTTGCTGCATATGAGGAACCCCGGGGTCCTCATCCCAGATTTCGCACTGATACCAGTCCAGATCAGGTGCAGAATGAAGAGCCAGTCTCCGAGCTACCCCATAGCCGTTGAGGTAGGCAGTTGAGTACTCCTCATGGGTGTAAACCCTAAGGGCTAGCTGAGTCTCAGCATCAGCTAGCTTCTTCTGCGCCTCTTCTAAGGCTTTCTGGGAAGACTCCCGCTGTCCCTTCAACTGAGCCTCGGCATCAGCGAGCCGTTGCTCAGTCTGCTCAGCCTTGGCTCGGGCCTGGGAGAGACGCTCTTCCTGGTTCGTCAGCTAAACCTCCAGGCTGGTGATGTTTTGTCGTTGAGACTCTAGCTGAATCCCGGCCTCGACCAGCTCTTTCTCCCTCGCTTCACATGCTTGGCGGTGTTGTTCGGCGTCAGCCTCCAAGATCTTGATCTTTTGCCGAGATATCTCTTCTCGGGCCAGCACTTGAGATTGAACCTCAGTGTCGATTTTGTGCTGGATCTTGGTTTTGAGGCTGGGAACATCCACTGTGCCGAAAGCATTAAGTAGGGCCTCACCTTCATCCATCTGAGGCAGGACGTCCCTCTCCATTTCAGCGCAGAAAGTGTTGAAGGAGTCAATGACAACCCGGGCCCTGTCCTCGGCTTTCTCCTGTTTCAGCTGGGCAAGCTTTACCTCTGTCTCAGCGATGTCCACCCTTTCCTGGAGCGTGTCAATCATCTCACAGGTCATGGTATGGTTGTAGACAACCTGCAGAGCCGAGATTGAAATTAAGTTAAATAAAATTCCAAGTGAATGGAGTAAACTGAAAATGCCGAAGGTATAGAATATTATTACGTACCTGCATCAGCAGCCTCTGGTTGTCTCTAGCTAGATCTGGTACTAAAGGACCGGGTTCGGCAATTCCAGCGGTTGCCCGAATAGACCACTCTCGGACGTGCTCCATGTCAGATAATTTGGAGCAACCGCCGAAGTAAGCTTCAGCACTTTCCCTATGTCTCCCCCAGATCTCGGCCCTAACACCATCTGGGATAGAGCACTTCTTGGATGAGAACCCCATGTCCCCAGACTAAAAGGACTTGAAGGAGGGGAACGAAGTCGATGGAACTTCGTCCGCTCTCTCGGGCTCAGTCGTTGCCCCTCCAGCCTAGGCTTCTTCAGCCTCGCTGAGAGGTTGACTTGTCAAGGCGTCAACCTCCCGCTGAATCTCAGCAGTGAAGCCCCTAGGGGCCTTATCTTCATCAGTAGCCGCCTCTTCGGCTACTTCAACAACTTCAACCTCAGGGAGCTTAGCAGCACTCCCCTTGTTGGAAACCGCTTCAGGAAACCCCTCCTTTGGATCAGGAGTTCGCTGGTCCACCTCCATGTCAGCAGTTGGAGGTGGTGGAGGGGTCCTCGGCGACGACGGGATTGGCGGTGGTGGTTGAGTCGGGGGAGGAGGACCCCCTGTGCTTCTTGGTACCCTGCCTCGGCCAGCAGCAGGTTCCCTTATTACAACGCCGGGCATTGGCCTCAGCGTGAACTCTCCCGGACCCATAACAGCTGGGCCCTTCCTTCTCCTCTTCCTCTGCTCCAGAGGCTGATCGTCCATATCGTCAGAGTCCGAAGATTCAAGCTCTGAAAGGTCGTCTGACGATGCCGGACCCTTCTCTTCTCTCCTTCTGCCCTCTTCCTTAGACTGCAGAAGGGGGGAGCAAGAAGGGATCAGTAAAAAAAAAAAAAAAAAAAAAAAAAAAAAAAAAAAAAAAAAAAGCAAGTGCTGAAAGCCTTACCAAAGTCCTCGGGCGAGCCTCGGCGGCACCAGAGGTCCCTTCACCCCTTTCTAGGGAGTTGATGGCTCTGGTCACCTCTTCAGCAGCCTGAGCGGCGAGTACTTCTTCGGCTAGCAAAGGCCTCAGAGGATCCCGTTTCTCCCACCAAGACTTCCGCTGCATATAATCTGCAGCAGCCTCGATCTGAAGGCCCGTCGAGTGTAGGTACAACGGACGATCCTTCGGGGCAGTGATAGCTGGAGCCCGGTCTAAGATGACCCGTTCAGTATTCACTCCTAACCGATCGTAGTCGATGTCAGAGGTAGCCTCGCTCAACTCTGAAAGGAGAAGTTGAAGGTTAACCCTAAGACATAGACAAAGCAAATGAAGCAACAGCGAAATAAATTCCTCGGCCCTAGCCGAAGGTACTTACCGCCTCTGAGCTTTCGGCTGAGGCCGACAACCGCCAACATCTTCTCTTGGAAGACGTAATGGTTGTCCAGAAGCCATCGGGTGGGGATGAACTTCATTCGGCCAGTCCCCCCAGGGTTTTTCTACTTCCCGAAGAAATTCATCTGCTCATAGCTTGGGTGGCTAGCGGCATTAGGGTCTCCGGGACCCAAATCTTGCATGTTAGGATCGGGCCTGGAGAGGTAACGGGGGGCCCTGAAGAAGTAGGGGTGCTCCAGATCAGCAGGAGCCCTTACCCAGATCCACTGGCCTCTCCAGTCCTTATCCGAAGAGTCGTTCGGCCACATGGTTAAATATTGTGGATGACTCTCAATTTGCCACCAGCCATCCCTATGGTGACCGTATACACTTTGGGTATTCTGCACCAGCTGATGCATCCTTCAGAAACAGTGCAAGTTCGGTTCAACAGCAAAGAACCTGCATACCCAGAGATAGGTCATCACCCGCCGAATACTGACGGGCGTCAACTGGCACAGGAGATCCTGTACTTTATCAAAATGTCCCTGACGAAGGGATCCAAGGGGAACCGAATCCCGTACTGCAGTTGCCGAGTATACACCCCCACATACCCAGGGGGAGGGCGATGAATTATGTCAGTAGGCGAGGGCATTCGGCACCAATACCCATCTTCTTCAAGGATGCCGTAGTGTAACTCGATCTGTTTGGCAAACCGATAAGCTTCGGCATGCCTGATCCACCAATGATAAGGGGTATTGTCCCAAAGCACGGGAGGCAGATCACCCTCTTGTTCAGCAGCACCGGCCTCGGCCCCCTGCTGAGGGCCAGCCGCGTTCAAAGGGACCGCCGGAATCCCCCTCTCCGGGTCTTCCTCGACGCGTTCCCCATTCCATACGTCGGCACGGTCCCTAGGGTCCCTGAGCTGACCTCGTCTTCCAGTCCGGCGACCTCTTAAGCGAGCCATCGATGAATTCGCGAGAAAGGACGTCGGGAAAAGAGGAATTCTTTGAAAAAACTAAGAAAATCAAGGGAAATTCGAAGAAAATTACCTTTATGAGAATCGAGACTCGCCGATTCAGTGGATCAGAGTAACGGGCTGAGCGCCAAGCTTTGATTTCGGGTGTGGAACGAAGTTTCGAAGCGAAAGTAATGGGTTTTCAGAGAGTTCGAAAGTGAGTTGGTGAAGAAATGAGGAGAGAAATGGCGAATTTGGTTTATATTTCCAGAAAACGGGAATTTAGAAAGCCAAAATGCTTAATTCCTCTTAAAAACCTCCTTAAGTAACCGTTAAACACTCTCTCTCTTAATTAACCACCCATTATCCATTCAACTTCCCCATTAATTATCCTAATTACAGTTATTTAGTTAATGGCTGTTAAAAATTCAAATCTTTTGATTTAATTAAATCATTTACTTCCCTCCATCCTTATTGGATTCAAACCCGACCCGTCATCCTTCCGAATCGGGTCTGGGGGGCAAGTTGTTTGGGTCCAATTAAGCCAATTGGGCCTAGTCATTAAATGATCCAATAATCCAAGGTCAAGGCCCAAGCCTCCATCAAGCCAAGTCAGCATAAGTCAAATGGTCCAAATTGTTATGGTCAGCCCATGACTATTTGCGGCCCAGTTACCCTCTCTCCTTGTATGTTAAGGTATAAAAGCCTTCAATTACATCATTTGTCAAATATACACATACAAAGCCTCAAGCATTAATTCTCTTGCATAGCTTTCTCTCTCTAAACACTATTTGACTTCGACATCGGGGGGTCTTCCTCGGATCCACCCCCAAGGCCAGTTTTACGTGTGTTTGCTGTGCAGGAAACCTTCGGCCCAACATCATTTGGACCGGACTAGTCTTCATCAACCTCAGCGGACCTTCGGCAAGGTCCCATTGTTTCACCCGAAACATAACCTAAATTCTGATAAATTTAATATAATTTTTGATATTTATTAATCCGAGTATTATAATCTAATTTCTGATAACTAAGAGCTTGTTCACATTTACTTAATTTCTGTTCGGTTAAGTTTAGTTCATTTTCATTCAGTTCAATTCAGCTCCAATCAGTTCAGTTCAGTTCAACTCCAATCAATTCAGTTCAATTCAGTAAATATGAACAGACCCTAAGACTTAATATATGATAATTATAATCTAATACTCCGTACCTAATAAGAATAATATAATATTTGACCATTATTATCTAATTTCTGACACTTATTATAACCTAATATATCTTATATATATATAATCTAATATCTGACTATTATTATCTAATTTTTGACAAATTTTTTTTTGTTTATATATCCGGACTCACATGAGTCCGTTCTACACTACACAATATTTTACCCTACATAAAGATAATTAAATATTTTCGTCATAAAGATAATACAATTATAAAAGATTTGGAATGATTATTATAATTGTATCAAATATTTACAACAACAAAAAAAAATAAAAAAAAAAATAAAAATATACTCCCTCCGTTTCATAATGTTAGTCCCATATACTATATTGGGCGTTTCAAAAAGATCTACCCATGTTGAATATATTTCATTTATAACTTGATTTTTTGGGAACTAATTGCTTGTGGATTGATGACATGACTCTAAGTAAGGAAATTTTTACCTTAAATTATGCAATTATAACTTGTGTTTTCCTAATAAAAAATCAAAAAAGTTAAATAAGGTAAACTAATCATGAATTCTATTGTACTTTAATGTTAGATTCCAAATATATTTGTTTTCTTATTTTATGTGATTGATTCTATATGGGACTAACATTATGAAACGGAGGGAGTAATAAAATAGGAAAAAATGGTTAAAAAGGGAAGTGGGGTTTTGGATGGAGAAAAAAAAAAAAAAAACAGCATCAGGATGTGACACATGTCACTTCCGGTGTGTGTTTTAGTATTAAGTTATTGATTGATTGATGACTTTAGATTTAAAATATTTAGAACACACCTTATTTGCATTTGATTAAGCAAAAATAGTTTAAGAATCATCAAACTTACATGTGCATGGTCACCAAGGTTGACAACAAATGCACCCTCAATGGGCTGGACTGTGATCCAATTCTGACCACCATCATTAGTAGCTTGAAGCCCACCAACATGGTCTTGTAGCAACAAAGTAATTGTACCTGGATCAGTATGTCTTTTAAGCCCAATTGCAAGACTGGGCTCATGGCATTTTGGGTAGAAGTTCACTGCCATCCTCTGGGCCATCTCTTTACAGGCCTTTGTCATGGCCTGCCTTTCAAGACCCATTGCCTCGGACAAAACCTCTAAAAGTTGGATTGCAAGGCCCATCATCTTCTCTGTATAGAGTTCCGTTACGGCCCGCCATTCTTTGGGCTTATCGGGCCACCTTGAGTAGTCCCTCTCTTTTATTGGGTATGGAACGAAAGCTACCATTTCCCGCCAATTTGCTACTATTTCATTCTAGTAAAGGTTAAATCATAAAAGTTAATATTAAATAAATAAATAAAATAAAATTGAATAAAATTAATTAAAGGTTATTTTATTAACTTGATTTTTATTTATCTGAAATTATTAGATTTTAATAGACATTATTAAAACTTATTTTAAGAAATGAGTATGTAATATGCTAGTTTAAAAAAGGTAATTAAATACGATATACTATATAATACGTCGTATGAAGTATATTCTTAATAGAAGATTTACGAAATCTTCAATAATACTTGCTAAATTTTATGGATTACTCCCGTTCAAAAAAAAATATATAAAATTCAGATTACTTTATACATCCAAATAAGAAGAACTATTCATTATTATATTTTTAAAATAGATAAATAGAAAACAAATTTGTTAAAAAAATATATGAAATATAATTCATATATATTAAAGTACTCAGTGCCATAAGGGCACGATTGCATGTGATATGTTTGGTTCAGGTAAATTGATAAATTAAAACACCCATACATGATGGATTAAATAATACATTGTATAAGTTATGTATTAATACATAACAGCAATTACTATCAAATGAAATACTCCCTAGTACATTTAGTTTTACTAGGGCGCCTCATCGTGTGATGCGCACTATAGCTAGCTATGTTCGAGTAGATATTCAGTTTGACCATATGTCGCAAATTTAATTGTTGACAACATTGATGATGACAAATATGTAAACAAATGTTTATAAGGGGGATAAATATATATACACTATTCATAAGAATTTATAAACAAGACAATTAACATTAATAAGGGCAAATAATTATATAAATATTTTAATGGATATAATGTCTTAACATTATTTATAAGGTTATTTCATACTTTGTATATTATAAAAGGTAAGGATAGTTATCAAATAAATACTGCATAATATACAACCTTCTTCATATTTGAATATTTGACTGAAGTAATTTTTCTAGTCAAAGTACCTTCCTCTTAATGATAAACTAGGAAGAGGGCTCCCAACTCTATCACAGTAATGGGGAACTGTAAGAAATCGAACCTTGATCACATGTTTGGGCCCTCCATCTTCTCACTCTGACTTGAAAGTACTTATTCAAACACTATAAAAACTTTGAAATCGCATAATATCTATTTTGGGTGTTGTTTGTAATATACTTGACCTCCCATAAATAACAAATTAGGACTTATATATCTGAGTCAATAAGTTAAATAATCTAACCACTCTTGAAATTCTACAGTAGTCATTTAAAATGACTACCTATATAGTTAATTTTCATTGACCAATTTTTGATTTACTCCCTCCGTCCCTAAGTTACATTCATACTTCTCTCTATTATGTGAGGAATAAATGTTAGAAATAGGAATGTAATTTAGGGATAGAGGGAGTAGTTTTTTGGTGGTCAAACTTATTATAAATGAAATTTTCTTTTGAATTTTTTTTTCAAAAATTTAATTTTAAATAATAATTTTTTTTTTCATAATTAATTTCCAAATAATGAATATTTTTTAAAAGATCAACTTTAATAAGTTTGACCAACAAAAAAAAAAAGTCAAACTGGCAAATAGAAATTAGGTGTAGTCATCCTTTGGTAGTCATTTTAACTTTTTAAGTATGACTACCATGAGAACATCCACTCTAATCTAGTCATATTCTTAATCCTATAAAGCCATGTTTTTTTTTTTAGGGAAATCATATATAAAGCCATGTTATTACGTTAAAATAATATATAATATTCCATACAAATATAAATAAGTTCTATCCAATAAATTCTTCAGAAAAATAAAAAAATAAAAAATTCTATCCAATAAAAATAAATCTTAATCAATGAATGGAATACGTTTTAGTCAACAATAATAACATTACTAGTACTCCATATCATTTAATGAAAATAAACTTTGATATATAATATGTATATCACTAATTTGAAGAAAATCAATAGCCCCCAATTCGGATTATTCCATAATAATCTAAAGTTGAGATTATTGAAACAAAATACAGCAAAATTAGGATAATTTCTTACAATTTCTCCAAAATAATATTATTGTGATAAGTTGTGTATAATACAACATTTGATAATTTTATATTTGGGTCAAAGCACTAACACTAACCTACTTTATTTCAACAAAGCAAGTTCAAATAAGGATTAATCTAACTTAACAGTTATTTATATAATACAAATTTACCTTAATTTATCTTAATTAACTCACCTGAAAGTACAAAAATTGAACTTGTTTTAGTTGTACATTGAAATTAAGTGGCTCTTATCTACTTTTATTAGAACTTATTTTTCTCAACTTATTTGATCTAAATAAATATATATATATTTTAAAATAAGTGCAAATATGGTTATAAAAAATGCTCAATTTAAAGCTAACTTACGTTTAAATAAGTTTATGTAAATTTTAATATCCCTAACAAAAAAAAAATCTCATTTTTGTAAGATAGGAGGTACCTGTATATGACTAGATACAATAAAACCACCTTTTTTGCCTCCACTCATATCAAACCTAAGTTTCTCTTCATCAGGCAAAGCAAAGAATGCCCTAGACAAGCTAGCCATATCATGCACAAGTTTAAGATCAACACCGTGATTCACCACTTGAAACAACCCCCATTCCTCACAAGCTTTAGCAATTTGGTTGCGTATAACCTCCCTTTGTCCTCCCGGTGTGTCATCCTCAATTCCATCGAGAGAGATCACCGGGATTATGTTGCTAAATTGGTTATATGCAACCTTAGGACGTTCATCTTCGTCCATGATGAAATCATTTTGAAATTTACCATCCTTAACTAGGGATGTTAGTGTAGGAATTAAACTCATGACCTCTCACTCAATCTTACACTATGTACTCTCACAATTTCACTAAGATACGTGACTTAGGTAATTGAGTATGGACAATAGTAACAATATAATTGAGCTCTTAAATAGATGAGGAAGTCCTGTTATTAGCCCAAGATAATTGAAAAGTAGATGTATTATTAATTATGTGGAATTCCTCAAACAAAAAAAAAAAAAAAATTATTAATTATGTGGAAGATATTTCGTACTTACTTTTTAGAAGCTGACTAATTCCAAGACTTACTAGTGACTAATTACACCATACTTCTAGAACCTTATTTTTTCAAATTCGACGGTAAACTTGTCAAGATTGTCAGCTGACGGCAATTTTTTATATAATTACGAAAATTTTATTTTAATTGGAGATTTTGTTGATCTATTTACGATTATGCTCTTTGATACTCCGTACTTGATAAACAAATTTTGTTTAATATGGTGATTATCTTCTAATATGTAAAATCAGTTCATCTCCGTAGGTCAACGCTTGAGAGTCAAAAGGGGGGAAAGAAGATAAGAAAATCTCTCTACTCCTAAGCAAATGTAGTTGGTAGGGCTTGAACTGTTATGTAAAATGTTGTTTAGATTTCATAATATCAACTTCTTATAACCTTTTCAAATATATGGTTTAGTTATTATATTTTTAGAATTTGTTATATACACACGGATGTGCCCGCACACCTAACTAACCCAAGATTAGTGTATATAACAAGTTGATTGCTAAAGATGTACATTGATACGTAGAGATTGTAGACTAGTCAAAGTAATACAATTATTCTAGAAAACTGGGAGTATTATTTTTTAATTATGCAATTATAAAAACAAAAGGCCAAAAAGAACAAAAGTAACAACCAACATGTGTAAAATAAGCATGAAGTACCACAAACTCAACTATAAGTTCATCTTAGAGGCCACAGGTTTGGCGCCACAGATAGTCATCCCGCCATGTTAGCTTGTGATTTTTTTTTTCGGGCCACCCAACAGGCTTTTAAAAGAAAGAAAAATAAAGGGACACCATACATTCACAAATCACAAGTGTTAAAAAAAACCTGATTCCTCAATATGATAATGCATTTACAGAGTAATTCTTGTCTACACAAAAGAATCAGCTTACAGCTTACATATGCTGTTCTAGTTGTCTAAATTAGTACATCAGAAGGGATCTGTACAAATCTACAGCCCTATTCTATATTTTTCTTGGGGCAGATGGGAAGTATAAACATTACATTACTCGTAGTGGAAAAAAACTCATAATTACGGCTAATCCACTACCAAAAATATGAACCTGATAGAAATCTGTACAATTTTTCCCTTCTGGAGAAGCAAATGAGGCAGCAAGGAATGTCATCTTCCACGAGGAGATTGGCTCCTCAATTTTGGGATCTTAAACTGGGATGTGAATAACTTTGGTGTTTCCTCAATACTTATGATATCTCGCTTTCTCTTAGACCGTGAACCACTCTGGTTATTGAGGAAAAATAAAAAATAAAAGGGTTATGCATACAGAGAGCACACATCATGGAACTTAATTTCAAAACTAGTTTGGTTCAGGAAACAAAATTGTTTTTAGCTATACTATATAACTACCCATTGAGAACCATGAGACAGCCTGCTATAACTGCAGAACCAAAACATACATGAGTGCAAGGCATGAACGTATAACCTCCCTCCTGCTCATCCTCCTCTCAGAGAGTAATTGATTCAAAACTAGTTTACTTGCTACATACTGGAGAATGAAACATACATGTAAGGGATGAACGTTATTCACCTCCCTCGGGTCTACTGCCCTCTGAACGACATAATTCCATAGAAAACCCACAATTGATTTAACCAAAATGGTTTTAATTTTCATTAAGTGTTCAAGATATAGAGAAAAAGTTCTTATATATGTGTATTTGACGATTCACTATTATCCAGAATCACACTCTTCATATAATGAGCAAACTCTCCAGCACCTGAATCCAAATTCCTACTAGGATCATTGAAGTGAAACTAAGTTAGAATATCTGACTCCAATGATCCCAAACTTTACTGAGAGTATGATATTTGAACTTCAGTATGTTTGGGAGGGAAAAACCAGGAGTTAAGGGAAAGAGTGAGCTTGCATCTTTTTTTAACACTATGTTTGTATAGGAAATTTTGGAGGAAAAAGGAAGGAAATACTTTCTCTTATTTTGATAAGACATTTCAATAAACCAAATCCAACCAATGTTAAAGAGAGTTGGGAGGAAAATGAAACGTCAGTCTCTCCCTCCCCTCACCCCTCCCTTTTCTCCTCCCTTTTCCTTCACTATGATCATACATAGTGTAAATCTTTCTAGCATTTGAAGGATTGATCTATTATTAGAAAGGGAAGAAAAATAGTTATCCCATTCCCTTCCAATCAAAATCATCTACAGCTATTAGCCTACTAGTATGCGAGACTGCTAGGCATTATATTGAAACTAATTCAACATAAATTAAAAAATATTTTGCATATACAGATACTACGGAAAGTCTTCCATTCTGGAGCAATATAAAAAACAATAAGATATCAAAACAGCAACGTAAAACTCAAACTTCAGTGGTAGAACTATGGTTTGCATCAACATAGTGAGACATGTCTTATGGTGAGATTTGATAGATGGGCTAATGGGCATATTCTATCTTCTTAGGTTTTATTTTTATTTCATAGATGTATAACAGGCTTCATGCAGATGATTTTAATATAGTCACAATACCTTGTTCCTGGAAACCTACGTTTTTCTATCAGAATAAAGACAGCTGCAGTCCCCGCTATGTGAAGTAATTTCCTAATTTGGGCTCATGTGCTTCACTATTGGCTTTCACACAAAGCGCATAACAAAAATGATCTGAAATTTCAGAACAGACCCCAATAACTACTTAACCAAACTAATGCCATCAAGTTTTACAATAAGTTGCATCCAATCAAGGCCTCATTTGACATAGAACCATAACCCACAAGATTTCACAGATATATTACACGCTGCTCGGAATCAAAGGGGGATCATACTGCAGTAAGATGACAAATGCTAGAACCTAGATGACACTGCCCAACTGTATAACATCCAAGATTGACCACCTCTCTCTGAACTCTGTCAACTGTATATTAATTCAAGTGCCCTTTACCATAGTTTGTTTGGACTTCACTGCAAGAATCTATGTTGAACATGTTAGATATATGCAATGCTCATATAGGCCTTGGCTGACTAATTTCTTACAGATCCAGGATTGACTCTGTAGCATAGGTAATAATCCTAAACCACTCAGTAGCATAGGCAATAATGCTAAACCATGGCACTTAGTATTCTTCTTTCAAAAATATGCTATGTATAGTTATGAATCAAATGCCAAAGATATACTCCAAAAGTGTACTTCCAATAATCGGTCGTCTTTTTAAGTGCATCAATTCCTGTAATTGGCCATTTATTTAAGTGCATCATTTCCTCTTTTGTAAATCTACTATTGTTTTTCTTTTACAAATATCTCTCTGTACCCCCCCCTCGTTTTTTACATCCCTTAATTTTGAATATACTATTTAGTATTTACCTATTGTTTCTCTTTCTTATAATTTTTTATTCCCATACAAATCTCACTTGCAACATTTTGTTTCATTCAAATCACCCTCCTATAATTAAAGCTGGTTAAACTGATGTATTCAAATACCAAGGGAATAGTTAAAGCTTAAATGATGTTCATGAATATCTCCAAATTCCAAAAGCTCTTGTATAGTACTACCTTTGTTTTATATTGATGTACCACGTTCCATTTTAATATATTTTTATTTGATGAACGATGTACCTACTTCTGCTTTAGTCTTTATTTGACAAATAAAGTTAACCATCTTATCCCCTTATCATACAATAGTTACACTTCTTTTCAGCCTCTTACTTGATCCATCTCTGGCTTACAAAAAGAGTCTTCTGTAATTGAGTACTTCAAAAGAAAATGGAGGGAATATGTGGAAAGCCAAGATTAAAAAAGATTGAGCTTTAGTTCACAATTGTTGTCTGCAAATTTGCAATTAGTCACCCTAAATTGCATCTATTTAAACTCCATTGGTCCAGCCCACTAACAAAATAGTACGAAATTAAAAATGAGACCTACATTAATTTCTACATGGAAAAGCCATCACACTTTATGAAAAATGTATCAGCCAAAATTCCACAAGACAGCACTAGTACAAAAATGCAAATGGGCACCGGTTTAAAACCGGCTTTGTACACCGGTTTGATGCAGCATAATTACAGACTGACTAGGATGGTTGAATCCTGCATTCCGATACATGGAATGGGTACAAGAATGTAACACTGTACCATGTAGCATGTACCTCTTCTGATACATGGAATGGGTGCAGAGATGTAATTAGATACACTGTATCATGTAGCACGTACCTATTAGCACATTCTAGATTGTTAACAGAAGAAATAGTGAATTAGGCAACACCAGTTCATTTCTAGCAATGAAATACAAGTACTTCGTATATTTTAATGAGTTTGATGCCCAATGGAACAGAAAATGGTAAGTAGAAAGCAAAACAAAGAAGGGGTTATAGGCTAAATATTCTCCTTGAACTACCTCTGACAAGAATAATTTTCAATTCTACGATACCACTTGAGTAATTCATGGCTATAAAGGTACAGATACAACTCAGGATTCATATATATATATATATATATGTTCTATACGTACAAAAACCAATCTGGGCTTATACAATATTGATAAGCCTGAAGATAACAAAGGCTATAAATAATTCCTAAAATTACAATTTAACTTCAGTAATTCTAATTTTCATTTTTAACCTTTTGGCAACAGATGCCTTAAGTACCTGAAAGTCCACTTATATGTTGGTATGAGGAACTAGAGGGAGATCAGGATACATCAAGAAAATTTAGGACAGCTAGAAAGTTTAAAGACATCCTATGGACGTGCATTTTGTACCACTACACAAAACTTCTGATTAATAAGCCATGTGAGCTGTTTTAAGATTGTGATGAGCGTTGACAACAATTAATCATTCTGTGTTGTTGTAGTCAACTAAAGTGTGGGGGAAAAAAAGAAAAAAAATAAAAAAAAAAAACAAATTGCTATTTGAGCGTATATTTAAATTGGGCACGCGTCTTTAGTCTCTTTACTTACTATGAATCTGATAATTGTAATTTGTTTAACATTCAAACACATCCCAATTTCTCTGCTCTTATTAACTTTTCTACTACCTAATTCACTAAGTCCCTTGTGAGCTCAAAGCCTCAATTAACTATAACTCAGTTTTTCCATAGACAAATCAACAGCGACAAGGCAACCAAGCAGGGAACTATATCACTAAAAATTCCGTAATTCTCCTATTTTAAGACAGATCCCAACTCCTATCACACTCCCTTCCCCTTTTCACTGTTATACTACCCAATTCTCTAATTTCCTTTACAGTTCAAAGCCTAAAACTTTAGACAAAGTAACAATGCCTAGGCAATCAAGAAGGCCATTATTGCTATAAATAGTATTGCTTCTTCTTCCTTTGCCAATTAATTCCCCTTTTTTCCCCTTTAGACAGATTCCAATTTCTCTCTTCTTTTTTTTACTTTTCTACCACCCAAATTCTTCAATCCCTTGAGAGCTTAAAGCCTCAATCAAATAAACTTCATTTTCACCCATAGACATATCAACTATGCCAAGACTTATTGCCAGTATCGCTATTGCTACTTCCTTTCACGCTCCCTTCCCCTTTTCACCATTCTACTAGCCAATTAATTCCCCTTTTTTCCCCTTTAGACAGATTCCAATTTCTCTCTTCTTTTTTTTTTTACTTTTCTACCACCCAAATTCTTCACCCCCTTGAGAGCTTAAAGCCTCAATCAAATAAACTTCATTTTCACCCATAGACATATCAACAATGCCAAGACTTATTGCCAGTATCGCTATTGCTACTTCCTTTCACGCTCCCTTCCCCTTTTCACCATTCTACTAGCCAATTAATTCCCCTTTTTTCCCCTTTAGACAGATTCCAATTTCTCTCTTTTTTTTTTTTTTTACTTTTCTACCACCCAAATTCTTCACCCCCTTGAGAGCTTAAAGCCTCAATCAAATAAACTTCATTTTCACCCATAGACATATCAACAATGCCAAGACTTATTGCCAGTATCGCTATTGCTACTTCCTTTCACGCTCCCTTCCCTTTTTCACCATTCTACTAGCCAATTCTCTAATTCCCTCTAAAGCCCGGAGCCTCAAACAACTAGAACACATTTTCATCGTAGACAAAGTAACAATCCCCTTTTTTTCCCCTATATTTAGACACATTCCAGTTTCTCTCTTCTTTTTTACTTTTCTACTACCCAAATTTTCTAAATCCCTTGTGATCTTATAAAGCCTAAATCAATTAAACTTCATTTTCACCATAGACAAATCAAGGTACTCATCGCCTGTATCGCTATTGCTACCTCCTCATAAGCCTAAATTTCTCTCTCACTCTTAATCGTTCTACTAGCTCATGCTCTAATTCCCCTCAAAGTCTTAGACAACTAAAACACATTTTCACCACATAAATCAATGACACTTAGGAAATCAAGCCGGGCCTTTATCACTAGTATCATTGTTGCTTCTTCCTTTCCCTAATTGATCCCATTTTCTCTCTTTTGCTCCTTACAACCATTTTTACTAGCCAATGCTTCAATTTCCTTGGGAGATCAAAGCCTCAAACAACTAAATCTCATTTTCACTACAAGCAAGGCACTTATTTCTAGCATCACCTTTTTCACCTAAATAATTTTCTCTCTTTCTCTCCTTTTAACCGTTTAATAGCCAATGCTTCAATTTCCTTGTGAGATCAAAGCCTCAAACAACTAAATCTCATTTTCACTACAAGCAAGGAAGTTATTTCTAGCATCACCATTGTTTTTTCCTCCTTCACCTAGTTAATTAACCTATCCCCTTGATTAAGAAAAAATCCTATTTCTCTCTCTCCTTTTATCCTTTATTCCTTCCGATGCTCTAATTTCATCATAAACAAAATCAACACTGTCAAGGCAATTAAACAAGCCACTTATTGCTAGAATTACTATTGCTTCTTCCTTCTTAGCCCTCTTAAATTAATGGAGTTGCTACTAGCTAGTAATTGTTGCTTCTTCCTTCTTAGCCTTCCTAAATTGATGGCATTGCTACTAGCCTATAATGCTATTTATTTTCACTATCCCCTTTTTTTTCCTTATTTATAAAATCTGAAGATAAATGGAAAACATAATTGTATAGCTAAAGAAAAAAATCTGAAATAGATATCACTTTATCAAGTAATCAATTCATAATTTCTCCATTTTGACAAATATATGTGCCCAAATGACCCGGATAGATTAATGTGGTTAGAGCTTCTTTATACCAATCTGGTAAATTGAATTATTATCTACATCCAACTAATTTGATTCTAGTTCATTAACTTTCAAAGTTCATCAACTGATTGATTTTTTTTTTTTTGGTAAGCAAAGTTAACTACTTGTTTCTTTATTTTTGCACATTTGTAAATTTGTTAGCACTTTTGATGTTATGGAGGTGAATCTTACATACATTTTATCAAAAAATTTCATATATTAAAATTTTATTGTCATTCCTTGTCATATCATTGATCTCACATCATAAATTTGTGAAATTTTGGTTTCCTGTCCCTTTTACATATGTTCCTATCTCCGTGCAGAGTTGATTCATGGTAGGTATGGTGAATTTCATAATGTAATTCCCATTTAAGTAATGACAAAACAAGTACCCCCTAGTTCATTGCTTGGAACCTACGAAGAACAGAATAGACAAAGTATGGCCCTCCAACAAGTTTTGGAAGAATAAATAACCAATAAACTTCCTGTCTAACCTAGATTCGTGATAGGTATTTTGATTTTCAACAATAAATTTCCCATCTAACCTACTGTTCCAAGCCAAAAACAATATCGTAGGTGTCCGAAAATCGTTCAGGATAGAAGCCATAAACAGGAGACTTTTCCCACAAATTATTGAACAATTGCTACAAAGGAATGTTTAAATATTAAAAGCGCAAACTCATGAGATTTTGAGAGACAGCACAAACAACAGACAACCGATTGAACACAAAGTAAAAAAAAATGTGCAAGTAAAATGGAAAAGTTAATGAGCTTATGCAAGATGGAAAGTACTTTTGCACAAATTTTTGGAGGGGAGGGGAGGCAGAGGGGATAAATGACAGTCTAGGTCTACTTACTTGCTTGGTGACCAGCTGTGAAGATGATGCTTGTTCCTTCAAAGATGCACTCTCACAATTCTTGCTGTTTTCTCTGCCTCTCGGCCTGGAAGATGATGGCCGACTCTGGTTTAAAACAGGTGGTGTATCAGCAGCGCTTTTAGATTTCATTAACTTTAATTCCTTAGATAGTGCAGATATTTCTTCATTTTTTAGGTTTGACTGAGCCTCCAGCTCACTGATTTTGTCTTTTAGTGTTGCAATTGTAGCTTCAAGTTGCATAGAAGATGATTCTTCCTCCACAGCAGCAGTTCCACCTTTCATGCCCCTATCTCTGGAAGAGGATAGTTCATTCATGCAGCGTTTTAACACAGGTATTTTAGTAGGGGTTTTCGAACTTAGCAACTTTGATTCCTTTGACAGTTTGAAATTTTCTTCACTTTTTGGGTTTCCCCCTGCTTCCAACTCAATAAGTTTGGCTCTCAAACTTGAAATGGTAGCCCGCAGCTGAACAGCAGTTGCTTCTTCGTTTAGATCAGCAATCTCTTTTTGTCTGCTGCTTCTTCTAACTTTCAATCCAGAAGATGAAAACTCAGTAGAGCACTGATTTAGCAAAGGTACACCATCAGTGTTTTTAGATGTTAGCAACTCTAATTCTTTTGTGAGTCTGGAAATATCTCCATCTTTTTTGTTCACTTCAGCCTCTAACTTAGTGACCTTGGCCCTTAGAGTTGCAACAGTCTCATCCTTCTCTACATTTGCCGACTGCAGTTGTTCCATATTATTGAGGAGGTTTGTGATCTTCTCATTTGCTTGAGCAACTTCATCATTCTTAGTCTTTAGTTGATCAGAGTATTTACCCTCCATCGTCTTGTATTGATTCCAAACAAATTTGTTTTCATCCTTGAGGGCAGATGTTTCAGACATGTGTTTCACAGAAAGCTTCTCATATTCTTGTTTTAGAGTCGCCACTTCCTTTTCAAGCTTAGATTGATGCTTTGATGCCCCATTAGAGCTGATATGTCCAGATTGTCCACCACCATTTGTTTTCAGACTTTCATAGATTCTATTGGGAGTGATGTCCTACAAGGCAGATAAGGTATTGTTAGATACAAGGTGATATCAGTCAATTTACCAGCAGCAATCACAGATTCACAGATAGCAGATTGCAATATAACTTACCTCTTTATCAGGGCATTTATGAGACAGGATGTCAAACCAGGCTTTAAAATCATCCAACTCACTCCGGGCATTTTCTGCATTATATCAACATTAAACATTAAACAACAAACAATACTTCATATTTTCCAGTACAATGTGAAAAAAGAAGATGCAAGTCATAAAAAAAAATATGAATTGAATTTCATTTGCAAATGATTCGATCAAATTTGACAACTTTGAAGCAACATAGACATAGAACTATATATAAGGATGGACAATCATTCAATTACAATGACGTAGCTCAACAAATGATGAGTACAGGATTCGTGGGAACAAAATTAAGTAAAAATTCTCATTTAAATAAATAAAGTGAGTGTTTCCCAACGCTTATTATATTCTTTTTTTAACCCCTAAACATTTTCATAATAAATAAATAAATAAATATAAAACAGAAATTAAGTATTACAAATTGCATTATTGCAGAGATGGAACTTGACTGCTTCCAAACATTAAAATAACCCCAACAAAGAAATTGAAATTCCAGAATAAAATTCAACAATTTCTGAATTCCAAATTCTTTAAAAAGTAAGATGAAGGGGAAAATCATACCCTATGACAAATATAAATTATACCATAACAACTAACAATCATACCGTTAACATTTTTTTTACAAAAATAAATAAATAAATACGGAGTAAATAAAAACCCTAGCGAGAATTATCGAAAAGAAAGATACCTAATTTACGATTATTAACCAATGCTTCCCTTTTCTTAGAAGCCAGCAGAAAATCGGCCTTAGAGATTTCAAGCCTTTTCTCAGATTCAGACAACGACAATTGTCTCTCCTTCTGCAAAATCACAAAAGTTAATGAATTCAAAAACCCTAATTACCAAAATTGGGGGAAATTGAAGGGTGAAAGAAACCTGAGCAATAATATCTTCTAAGAAGCGAACATCAGAATTCCAACGCTGATACTGAAGTTGAATGCGTTCTTGTAGACTTTGGCGTTGTTCGAGGAGAACATCGATTTGGGAAGATTGTTTTCGAAGCATTTGTTGAAGGGCATTGAAGATAATTTCCCATTTTTGGTGATCTGAAGAAGGGTGAGATTGCTTCTTCTGATTTCTTGTTGAAACCATAATTAGTACTAGTATTACTTTAGGATTAATTTTTAAGAGAGAGAATTTGAAGATGAACAAAGAAACCCAGAAAGGAAGAGAAAGAGAGAGGAAGATGAAAGGAAACATAAAAAAAGGCGGATTTACAGAATTTTGAAGTGATGTGAATATCCAACGGTTAGATTGCTATTTATAGGGCTAACTTGCGTATACTCTATTGCTGTATGAACTTTTTTTTTTTATTATTATTTTGAAAAGGAACCTTTTTTTTTTTTTTTTTTTTTTAAATCTTAAAGGACACTAAATTTCATTAATATAAGTCATACGGCATCTACAATTGACAATGACCGATAATGAGCCCTGCACAACCGGAGATCAAATTAAGCACAAATAAAACCTTGTCTTTCGAACGAGATCGAAAAAACCTTGTCTTTCGAAGGAGCTCGAAAAAACCTTAACTTTCGAAGGAGAAAAACCCTTTTTTTCGAGGGAGACATTATTGTAACCTAAAACAAAAACCTTAAAAGAAAATAAAAATTGGGGCTTTCCACCGGTGAAATCCGATGGAAGCCCCTTTAATATTGACAATGGAGACTGGGTTTAGGAGATGAACCTTTTTTTTCTATTATTACTGTATTTTTTTTTTAATAAAGGTTAGGCAAAATTTATTACAGATCAAGTTCGAGTAATATACACTACAAGGTACTAAACTTTGCAATTTGTATCACTTAAGGTATTGAACTTATAAATGTATTAGTTGGAGTACTATGACCATCAGTGCAGTTTACTTTTCCGGTTTCAACCTGTTACTCCAGGTTACTTCGAAATTAAGTGTTTAAAAAAAAATCTGTCAGCAAAACGCCTCGAGAAAACAAAAGGCCATCATTAGCTTCGTTTGGCATGCGAACTCAAAAGGCAAATGTCATTCCACCACTCATTTCTTCCTATATAAAGAATCTAAAAGAAGCTAGAAAGATAATTTTCATCTTCTTTCAGAAAAACCCTAAACAGAGAGTAATATTAATTCGTGTGTGTTCATTAATGTGGCCTGGTGATTTAGAGTGTAACTCCTACAAGTACGCCAAGCTTTACTCAGAAGAAGGTATATTCCTTTTCTTTGTTGTTTTGTGTTAAATTTTGATAGTGATAGTTGTGTATAAAAATTTGAATTATGAGTTTTTTTTTCTCAAATTTGCATGATTTTGTGTTGTTAATGTGTAAAGACCATGAAAAACATAGTTGATCATATAAATTTTTGTTACCGGGTTGAGAATCTGCAATTTAGGTTAGGGTTTTAATGTAATGGGTGTGTGGGTAAAACAGGGGTTAACAGTTGAACTAGCTGGAAAATGATATGTACCTTGATGTGGCCTTAGGTATGGACACTCTTGGGCACGCTGACCCTATCTTCAGCCAACAAGACCTCCTCATAACCCATATCTTCAGCAGAGTTAACTGGGAGGACGAAGTCAACGTCCAGCTGGTGTGCAAGAAGTGGGAATTTGGTGGCGCCTCCGTCACTTGGCTCTCCGTCTCCCTTTCTATGGCCCACATGGTGAAGTGGCGGAGTGGATTTTGAAGGACATCGTCTTCCATGGGGGCAGGGACTTCCACGCCTGGATGACCAAAGACATGACGGTGTACTTCGACGGATTCCCTCTGCTGTTCAAGGAGGATTAGGGAACCTAGGATGTGGGTAGGGTAGGAAGGGGGGGTCTTTTTTTGGAGCAGCTGATTAGGAATGGATGTATAGTCATGATGCTGCTTAGTTAAGCTAATTATGGTGTTTTAGTTGCTTGTTCAATGTCATGGGACGGTAGTCTTTTGGAGTGACAAAATGTAGGGCCTTTTGTAATTTTGTCACTGCCGTGACATTGTTTAGTTTCATTTTAATTATGTCTGGTTTGTAAACAAATAACAATGCTGGTTTTTGGTGGTGGATGTTTATAAATGATAAATTGGAATGGTTTATGCTTATTTATCAATCTTTTTAATGTTTTTATTTGTGTTTGATTTAAGTGTTGTTTATGTGTGATGATCATGGTTAATCATAACTGAATATTGTGTTAATCATAACTAAATTAAATAGTGAAACATATGTGATAATAACTGAATTATGTGTGTTAATCATAACTAAAATAGATTGTGAAACATATCTAAAATAGATTGTGAAACATATGTAATCATAACTAAAATAGATTGTGATGATCATGGTTTGGTTAATCTAAAGTTGTGTTACATTACTTTTTGACAGAATTATGGCTTTGAACCCTTGCATTGTGGTTCATCATTGTAGGCGTCGTTCGAAGTGCGTCTACGTTAAAAGCATGTTGTGAATATGCTTGGCACTCATAGGAAGTGGGAATTGACATATATGATTAGGGACAAGGAAAGTAGGGAGCCACCAACAAGTTTTTAAGGAATTTGTAAACCGTTCACAGATCATAAAAGGCAACCACAAATAAAGGGGCAACGATAGGTAACAACGATTGACCCGTGAAGGTTACACCCCATTCATAATCCATGAGATTACTAACTCCATATGGTTCGGAACCACGAAAGGAAGATCGGGGATGATGGTACGAAGTGAGTCATGGAGTCACATTCGCTCGTAGTGGCCTCTACTCGATTCTTATTGTGAAAAGTGACTCCTGCGATCTCAAAGGCATACAAACAAAATATTCAATTTGCTCCAAACTATTATTAAGCTAAATTGGTTGAATATTAATGCAACATATAATTCTAAAATATCGTGATCACTTGATTTAATAACAAGATTAAAAAGGAACCTAAACCGGTCATCAAATTATCTTATTAGGCGTGATTTTCAATCACATATTCCATTTAAACATGCAATGTGGTGATCAATAAATATAATAGAATAAACATTAATATTGGAAATAATTTAACAATAATAACGTTATTCAAATCAAATATAAAAAAACCTAATCATGATACTAGCAATAAGAATAAAATAAGAGTAATTAAGTGATTAATTACTCACTTTCCGCGTTTCCTTGAATTGCTACATCATGAATAAACTGTTAGTAACTTTAATTAAAATATAAATCAAATTGAAACAATTAAATTAAATAAAAATTAGATTAAATTTGGTCCAAACCCTCAGTCAGGCCTTGGTTTAAGGACGAAACCTCAGGTTAAGTATGGACTCCTTGGAGTGCTTAAGGAAGAATGGTGTAATTAAGAATATAGGTTTAAGGCTTAGAATATGAGAGAGAGAGAGAGAAGAGAATGATTTGCGGTGTAAAAGAGAGGAAGAGAGAATGATTTGATGATCAAGCGTGTTGATGATTGAAAAAGGGGAGATATGAACTCTATTTATAAAGGAAAAAAAGGGTCGAAGAATCAAGAAAAGATAAGAATTCGAATCGGATAAAACTCTTGTGATAGACAACAGTTTTTGCGGTTTTTGTTTTTATCATATCTTTTGATCCAGAAATCGGAATAAGATAAATAATATGGAGTTGGAAAGCTGTTGAAGTCTACTTTCTAACCAAATTAGAATCATATTATAATATTTTTTAGAATAAAAGATATGGCCGAAATAGTGGGACGGTGTCAGTTTTGGATAGAGTTTGACATTTCATTCATATCTTTTTCGTTATAACTCGGAAATAATATTATAATATATCATTGAAAAGATAATTTTAATAGCTATCCAACATTGTAATATTTGGATAAAAACTATGAGGCACGAAAACAATATCTGTCTATCTTTGAACGTCTTTCAATTCAAATAGAATTAGGACTTTCTAAAAGAAAGTTTTATTCAATTTCAAACTTTTTAATCTTATCTTTTCAAAAAGGATAATTAAGATCTTTTAGAAACTTATAGAAGATTCTAATTAATTCTAATTGGTTTAGGAATGAGATTAAAGATTTTGGACCCTCCACGAGATCATTGGGTCGTAGGTAAGGTGGGCTTAGGTTCAGTTTGGACTCAGTTTAGTAGTTTGGCCATAACTTATTCGTTATAACTCGGATTTGGGGTTCTAATATATATATTGTTGGAAAGATCTTTTCAAGCCCTATCCAACTATTCAATCATTGGACCCAAATTATGGATTAAAATAAACTGGTATAAACGTTTTTTTTAAAAAGGACACGAAATGAATGATTTTAAGGGACACGAAATGAATTATTTTAGGTTTAAAGGCATGAAAATAAGTTATGGTTTGGGGAAATGGGATAGGAATTGAGTTGGTTTATGAAATGGAAATATTGATTTAAGAACTCCAAAGATTAAATACTCAACCCGACCGATAATGGCAGTGAAAGGTTGTTCATCATCGGGTTTGATTTTGGGGAGACATTTTTAGGTGTCTACAATCATGGTGGTCAATGGTTGCTTAGGGGTGAAATGTATTACAGTGGGGGTAGGGTTGAGTGTGTGGATTCAGATTATGTGAAGAATATAATTGAGTTTTTAGGACATGATGACATTGTGAAGATGCATTACTTAGATCCTAGGAAAACAATGGCTACATTCTCACCTCAAGGAATAAGCCCATTATCACTATGTTAGAAGATATTAGAGAGGGATTAATGGAGAGGCTTCACAAAAAAAAATAGATAAAATATGCAAGAAAGACATACTGTTATGCCCTAGTGTAGGCGTCGCTCGAAGTGCGCCTACGTTAAAAGCATGTTGTGAATATGCTTGGCACTCATAGGAAGTGGGAATTGACATATACGATTAGGGACAAGGAAAGTAGGGAGCCGCCAACAAGTTTATAAGGAACTTGTAAACCGTTCACGGATCATAAAAGACAACCACGATAAAGGGACAACGATATGCAACAACGATTGACCCGTGAAGGTTACACCCCATTCATAATCCATGAGATTACTAACTCCATATGGTTCGAAACCATGAAAGGAGGATCGGGGATGATGGTACGAAGTGTGTCATGGAGTCACATTCGCCCGTATTGGCCTCTACTCGATTCTTATGGTGAAAAGTGATTCTTGAGATCTCAAAGGCATGCAAACAAATATTCAATTCGCTCCAAACTATTATTAGGCTAAATTGGTTTAATATTAATGCAACATATAATTCTAAAATATTTGTGATCACTTGAATTAATAACAAGATTAAAAAGGAACCTAAACCAGTTGTCCAAAATATCTTATTAGGCGTGATTTTCAATTACATATTCCCTTTAAACATGCAATATAGTGATCAATAAAAATATAATAGAATAAACATTAATATTGGAAGCAATTCAATAATAATAGCGTTAGTCAAATCAAATATAAAATAACCTAATCATGATACTAGCAATAAGAAAATAAAATAACAGTAATTAAATAATTAATTACTCACATTCCGCACGTTCCTTTAAATTGTTACATCATGAATAAATTGTTAGTAACTTCAATAAAAATATAAATCAAATTGAAAATTAAATTAAATAAATATAGATTTGATTTGGTCCAAACCCTCAGTTATTTATATCTTTCACGCCTTGGTTTAAGGACGGAACCTCGGGTTTAGTATAGACTCCTTGGAGTGCTTAGGAGAAGTATTTTGAGAGAATAGGGTGGCTAGTATTTAGGCATGGAGAAGAGAATTATTTAATGATCAAGCTTGTTGATCCTTGGAAAAGGGGTGATATGACCTCTATTTATAGGGAAAAAAGAGGGTCGAAGAATCAAGAAAAGATAAGAATTCGAATCGGATAAAGCTCTTGCGATAGACAACATTTTTTGCGGTTTTTATTTTTATCATATCTTTTGATCCAGAAATCGGAATAAGATAAATAAGATATCGTTGGAAAGCTCTTGAAGTCTACTTCTAACCCAATTAGAATCAGATTAAAATATTTTATAGAATAAAAGATATAGCCGAAATAGTGATGCGGTGTCAGTTTTGGATAGAGTTTGACATTTTATTCATATCTTTTCCGTTATAGCTCGGAATTGATATTATAATATATCATTGGAAAGATAATATCAAGGGCTATCCAACCATATAAAATTTGGATAAAAAATATGAGGCACGAAAATATTATCTGTCTATCTTTGAACGTCTTTCAATTCGAATAGAATTAGGACTTTTAAAAAAAGGAGTTTTATTCAATTTTAAACTATTTAATCTTATCTTTTCAAAAAGGATAATTAAGATCTTGTAGAAACTTATAGAAGCTTCTAATTAATCCTAATTGGTTTAGGAATGAGATTAAATAATTTGGACCCTCCACATGATCATTGGGTCGTAGGTTAGGTGGGCTTAGGTTCGGTTTGGGTTCAGTTTAATATTTTGACCATAACTTATTCTTTATAACTCGGATTTGGGCTTCTAATATATCGTTGGAAAGCTCGTTTCAAGACCCATCCAACTATTCAATCATTGGACCCTGATTATGGACCAAAATAAACTGTATTAAATGTTTTTATAAAAAGGACACGAAATGAATGATTTTAAAGGACCCGAAATGAATTATTTTGGGTTTAAAGGCACGAAAAGAGGAAAATAAGTTATGGTTTGGGGAAATGGGCTAGAAATTGGGTTGGTTTATGAAATGGAAATATGGATTTAAGCACTCCAAAAATTAAATACTCAACCTGACCAATAATGGCGGTGAAAGGTTGTTCATCATCGGGTTTGGTTTTGGGGAGACATTTTTAGGTGTCTACACCTAGGATCCAAAAGACTCTTGAGAGAAATAAGATATGGGCAAGGGGGTGGTATGATTTTTGGTATGGGGGTTTCTGTTATGGGGTGAGGCAGGGTGCTACCCAAGATAAATTTGTGGTCAACAACTTATAACACAGAACCTGTAGTTGCAATGCTTGGCAAATAAGTGGAATTCCTTGCAAACATGTTGTGGTTGTTGTGTGGAACAAAGTGGATGAGCCTGAGCATTATGTGAATGAGTACTTCATAAAATAGACTAATCTCAAGGTCTATGACTACCTTTTTGAGCCTTTTAATGGGCCCCAAGAGTGGCCTGAAGCTGATAG